AAGAAGAAGCTTTTTCTTTTGCTTTCTGCTTGGATTTTCATTGTGTCTCTGTCAAATTACTTGTCAATCAAGTCTCTTCATATTATTCAATTTCTAGTTGTTTTGCAGCAATATATTCAATCAATCATATTCGAATCGCATTGGGTCGGTTGCTTTTTTCTTTAGAATCTGAAAGTTCGGGAATCAATAAAGAGCATTCGAAAATTTAGACATCTACACGTATATAAAAAAATGTAAGAAAGTGCGACGATTCCGATCTAAAATTCTCATCAATTTAAAGGAAATTTTTATAAAACATCCCCAATAAATCAAAACGTGAAATTCATTCTCTATTATCAAAATGGTCCTAATGTATTGTTGACATTTTCAATAATCTCATAAAATAAACACGAGAATTTAAGATGTCGGTCTTTATAATTTAATAAATTTATAATGCTTATATACATATGGTATATATTTTTCCTTATTCTCTTGTCAAAATCAAACACCACTTGCATATTTGAAGATACATATTTGAATGGAGAGGGAAAATAAAATTGCCACTAAAGTTGATGTGTGAATGGAAAAAAATGGATACATATTTGAAGATTTAGATTCATGCATGAGCTTTTAATAGTCTCCACTAGAATATTAATTACTTGCAATTTGAATACAAAATTACCAAATACATTGCATTGATCACCAAACCATGCCAAAAATGGTACAAGTAAAATCCAAAAATCCAAAATAAAAAAGTCTATCTATCAACCTTTAATGGATTTCAATTGTCAGCCACGTGAAAATTTTGTCAATTGGGCATTTTTTCTTTTCTTTTAGGGCAGACTAATTTGAGCAATAAATTAACTTTTTTAATGCAAAAAGAGACCGATTAATTAATACAATAACAATTATAAAATTATAGGACAAAAATTAGATTTGGCTCCTATCAAACTTGTTTCCATTTTTATTTGAGAAACTTACCTATTTAATAATTACTTATGTTTCTTATTTCTCTATAATATATAGTAAATAAAATTGCAACCTCAAATAATTAATTAAAAAGCAAAGTTTCTACTTTCTTATATATATATAAATGATGGGTCCAGGTAAAATGTTGTAAATAATTAATTTACTTTAGGTAACTATAGATTATAATGAGTTATTTTGTATATAGACATTAAAATTTGAATCTAAAATGATTATTAGGCCACCTTGTCCCCACTCCCCACCTTTGTAATAATTTCAAATGTCCATATGTTATTGGTCTATTTTTTAATAATGTTGTGAAAAAAATTAATTTTAAACACTATTTTAGTATCTATATTTTCAGTTTGATTCATCTTGGTATGTGCAATTTTAAAACGTCTATTTTAGTCTTTATAATTTTAACTTTTGTTCAATTTAATTTTTTACTTTTAAAACGTCTATTTGCTCATATTTCTAAAAGTGACTATTTTTGTTCTTATATATATATATATATTTTTTAATCATAATTTTAGCCTAACACTCCATCTACTAATTTTTTTTTTTGAAATATAGCAATAAATTTATATTAAAGAGTTTCTATTAGGTATATAATTTGTATTAAAATTTTACAAATAGAAAACTTAAATATAAAATGAGTAGGTGTCAATTACTATTGAACTATACTCATTGATACATCATCGTTAAATGTTTATCTACATGAAATATGCAAATTATATAAATAACATGTAATGTCCAACGTGGATTAAATAATTTGTAGAAATGTTATATATCAACATGTTTCCTTTTTATGTAATAACTGAAATTAAGTTTTTAAAATTTTATATACTCACATAAAATAAAATAATTGTAAGTTATTTGATATTCCATACAAAATAATCAACATTTTTTCATACTTTCCAAGTTTGCAACTATTTAATCCCTATATTTTAAAAAATTCTAATTAATCTTTTACATATATTAAGTAAAATTTATAATAAATTCTAACTTCATTTTTTAACATTTATTTTGATTTTTTTAGTTAAAAATAAATTCATGTAACATTTATTTGATATAGTAATTATACTATTTGAAAAAAAAATTATACTATTGGAAGATTATGTAGTAGACTTGTATGAAAAAAATCCAAACATTTAATGGCTTAAATATACATAACTGAAATTTCTTAAACACAAAATTAAAAATTTACAAATCGGTTAGAATCTATTTTAGTAAAAATGAAATCACTCATTAGAACTCGTCAAAATACAGAGACAATATAGGCATTAATTTTATTTTTTTTTTAATAATTTTGACAAAATAGAGATTAACTTTATTATAAACTCTTGTAGAGACTTTTTTCTTTTTCTTTGAAGAAAAAAAAGAAAGAGAAAAAAAATCTGCAGAAATGAACACCATAATACTTTATAGAGATTAGAGACACGCTGTAGCTTGTAGTTGACAGGTGTGCTCCTAAAATTATGAAGTTTGCACGCGCGTGAGTGTGAGTGTGACACACCGCCGACCAAGTTCCTCCATTTAATTATGCTGCCCCCGCACGTGCGCATCGACATCTGCACTTTCCTTATCCTTTTTACTTCGTTTGGCCCCACCTACCATTTTTATACCAAAAAAATTAATAGGCCAAAATAAATTTTAAATATTTTAGAGTAAATGATTCCTGATGCATTTGGTTGGTAATTAAAAACAGAAATTTAAAAAGAATAGATTCAATCAAAAGTTACGATTCTTTGTTTTGTTTTCGATATATGTATTTAGTATCAATATATCAGTATCAAATTTGAGAATTGAATCTCAATTTAAAAAAATGGTTCAATATGCGTTTAGTAATATATTTATAAACTCGAAGTAGTTACAAACTAAATATTTAGTTTAATCTAAAGTTATATTAATTAATTTATTAATATTTTTTTTATGAATTTTGTATAATTATATTTATCAAAGTTGTTATCTTTTTTTAATGTTCAAATTCTGAATCTGAAAATATAAAAAAGTTTGTTTTAATTTCTAGTAT